GTTTTGAAAGAGTTTTTCCTTTTTTCTGCAGATTGTGGTTTCAGCAATACACAGTGCTCCCTTCAGCCCATAAATATAAATCCAGAGCAAGTTTTACATTAAAAAAGATCCATGTCTAACAGTGGAGGCCATTTAAACATTGATAAAGTAATATAGAACTGTATGTAAATATTTTTTACCTGCTAACCTTAAATAAGAAATGTGCATGATTTTTCCATTTACTCTTTTCTAACTTCATGGAAGGTCATACATTTAGGATGTACATCAGAAAAGGAGAACAGAGCGTAGCTGTGCTTGCAGCTGTGCTTCCTGGGCTCCACTGAGGATGTGAGACAAAACACTCCTTTCTACAAAAATGTTCAAAGATAAGACATGCCTTTGGTATTATGCCTTGTTTTCAGTCTAATAAAAAGCCAAGAGGGGAAAGCAAAAGTGGAAGAGTGTTTTGGATGCTGTGCTGGCGATAAGCTGCAGAGCTCTTCCCTCTTTGCAAAAAGCTTATACTTCAGAGTCTGTGTCGTTCATTCGCGTTTTCCACTTTTGACGAATTCGAGTGTTTTGAACCTAACAAATACGATGTGTTAAAACAGGCAATCCAAACTTGCAGCACAGGAGCCCTAGAGTACTGGAGTTCAACTCCCTGTCTTATGTACTTTGTTTGCTCTCCTTCTATCCTTTTTAAAGTAATTAACAACACAGCAATTATTGATCATGCACCCCCATAACCGTTTGAGTGCTGTCCGAGAGGTAGTGGATTAATGCCCACATTCTTCAGCAAGCATTTAATTTAATTTATTTTTTAATTTAATTTCGTCATTCAGTCAGGAATTGTCTTAAGCGTGGTGTAGGCACTGCAAGACAACAGTCTGTTGAAGACCGGAGAGACCGAGTTGTGACATAAGCCTTTGCAAGAGGGTTCAAGTAAACGGGAGCCGTACCCTAAAGCACTTTGTTGGCTAGCATCATGGACTTGAATTTCAATTCAGTGACGTGAGACTTTTTGGGCTGATTGAAGACCAAACGCGCCGCCGCGTTCTGGATCATTTGTAAAGGTTTTACTGTACAGGCCGGGAGACCAGTCAGGAGGGCGTTACAATAGTCGAGGCGGGAGATGACCACAGACTGCACCAGGAGCTGGGTAGCATGTTGGGTTAGTTATGGCCGGATCTTTCTTATGTTTCTTATGTTTAATAGTGTCTATCTGTGTTTGTCCCCTGAAAGATGGAGAGAACGGCCACCGTATGAACAACAGCACGTTTACTCTGACGATGATCATCTTTTTTACGGTAAATCATGTCCAATTGAGGAAGAAGTTTGGATTAAAGCATCTTGCCACAGGAGACATTTTCACCTCAGTGAGTTGGTACAAAGGCTGACTTTTCCTTGAATTGAAGAAGACACTTCACACTCAGTTTAATAAGGCATAAGGCGTCTCTGTTGTGGTCCTGGACAAATATGAGAAAAAGAGGTTGATTTTTTAATGTTGGCTGAAGATGTTCAGGGTACAACATGCTTCAAAGGTTCTTACATACAAGTACAACACAATCAGAGGTATGGGGCTTGAACCCATGACATTGGTGTTATTAGCACCACGCTCTGACCAGCTGAGCTAACTGGCCTGTTACATTTCACCAAGTGTAGGCGATGCAGTCCATACCCCATGCATGTGATTGAAACTGTATTCAGGAAAGTTGTTGTTGGTAGGACTCTAACCTGCGTGGGGAAACCCCAATGGATTTCTAGTCCATCGCCTTAACCACATGGCCACAACAACCCTGATCAGCAAGCTGAGCCAGTTCATTCTCTCCATTTCTCTCTAGGAAACCACAAGTGCAGGAAAATATGGTACTTGTCCTACTTTACTCTGTCAGAATACCAATCATAGACATATCACATGCATTAAAAGCCTCAGTCATGGACACACAAGACTCTATCTGGACTGTCCTGAAGAGTCAAAACCTTTTTGATTCTAGTGCTCTATCCTTTGGTCCATTTTGTAACCTTGTAGACTGAACATTTCCATTTTGTGGCTGCAATGGTTTGTTCCTTCTTCAACCCCCACACAGTTTAACTCCATGTCCTGATTACTGAACTTTCAAGGAAACTAATTTGGTGGTTTTTGTCACAGGGTAACAGGGACCAGGGACTCTGAACCTCCTTTAACTCTAGTCATGTAGTATATGTAGATTTTTTAACCATCTTTGGCAGTCCCAAATACAGTGGGGGAAATAAGTATTTGACCCCTTGCTGATTTTGCAGGTTTGCCCACTTACAAAGAATGCTTATTTTTCCTCATCAGATAGTTATCAATTTTTATAAATTCATATGATGTGATTTTCTGGAATTTCCTTTGGGATTCTGTCTTTCACTGTTAGAATGTACATATGATTAAAGTTATATATCGTTGCATTCTTTGTAAGTGGGCAAACCGGCAAAATCAGCAAGGGCTCAAATACTTATTTCCCCCACTGTATCTCCTGACCAAGAAACTCATGCAACTATTAAATATCTACAAGGGATTCAGACCAGATAACTCTACCAACTCATCAGGCTTAATTCAAGCAGAGCAAAGGTCACTGTATTCAGAGTGTCTTCTGGATTTTCTACACACCATACTGTGGAGCAGAAGTAGAGATATATTATTACAGCTGACCCCTTTGTATCACCAAACAGTGACATGACAATGGTAAAACCAGAGCAGAGGACTGGAGGGAGACCTACATATGTATCCCTTCAATAGCTCAGCTGGTAGAGCGGAGGACTGTAGATGTTCAATTGCTGAAAACCTTAGGTTGCTGTTTTGACTCCAGCTTGAAAGAACTCCTTTTTTTTCTTCTTTTGGTCTTCCAGCATCTACACAAATGTTGCTGAGCCCACAGCATACAGACAGCTTCTATAAAAGCTATTATCACCCTGATCTCTCCTGTGGACCCTCTGGTTGTGGACCCTCCGGTTCTGGACTCTCTAGTTGTGGACCCTCTGGTTGTGGACCCTCTGGTTGTGGACCCTCTGGTTCTGGACTCTCTAGTTCTGGACCCTCTGGTTGTGGACCCTCTGGTTCTGGACCTCTAGTTGTGGACCCTCTGGTTCTGGACATGTGGTTGTGGACCCGATGCTGCTCTGCTCTCAAAATATGTTTACAAAGTGAGGCTGCTGTAAAGGTGAGTTATACTGTGGCACCAGAGATCAACGTCAGGCCTTTAATGAGGGAGAGTTGGTGAAAAAGGGCCTGATGAAAGCTTGTGACCTCGTGTGTCCAGAGAGAAAACAAGCATTTTTAAAGATGAGCTTGGGCAGAAACACAGCAGCTGATCACACATGTGAGCCTCCAATCTGTATGAGCAGCTGATGGGAAAGGGAAAGGGTTTGGTTCCATTCTCTCCTGCTGTTGAGGAGAGCAACCACATATCTGATACTGCTGTCAGTCTTCATCCGGGGAGTGGACTCAGTCTGTGTGTTACAGAGGAGCTTTGGGGACTAAAATCAGTGTATGGCCCAACCACAGGAAAGGAAATCTTTGAGGAGGTTTCCAAATGTGTGACTGAAATAAAGCTGCTGTGGAATCCACTCATGGGATTAACCAGGGATGGTGTTCCAGCCATGTGCGGTCCAAAGAGGGGAGCGGTGAGCAGGGTTCAGGAGAAGATGAGGGAGGAGAACTGTGCTAGTGAGCTGACTGTGTATCACTGTATCACACACCAATAGGCCTGAGTGGGAAAGACACAAAGATGGAATCTGTTATGAAACCTGTTATGACTACAGTAACAAAGCTTTTGAAAGTGAGCAAGAATTCAGCCTGTTTCTGCCCAGTTTTGAACTGGGGACCTTTCGTGTGTGAGACGAATGTGATGACCACTACACCACAGAAACTGTTGTCAGTTATCTTCCTTGAGTTGAGTTGAGTTGAATCCCGCCCTTGTCAGAAAGATGGTTGATTGTGTGAGTGCTGATCTCCGACATGGAGGAGAGTCATGGACAGTTCCAGATGGTCCTCTGAGCTCTGCTGTTCCACACAGAGAGCTTCTAGTGTCCTCACACTGAGGACTCCATGCTGCTGCTGACACACACAGTTTCTACCTCCATCTGCAGAGGAAACACACATCTGACATCAGCTCAAATCCATCTTTCCATCATCTGATAAAAGCTCTTCAGCGCCGTCCCTTTGATTGGAAAACCTTTGTTTCTTTAAAAAAAAGAGTCGGCAGTAATGATGGAAACTTTTCAGAGTTGCCTTTTCCTCTGATCCATATAATTCAATTACAGTTTAAATAAAAAGAAACGGATGACAAAGCTTCCCTCTAAACAGTTTCTGCAGTGTAGCAGTTACCTTCAAAAGCTGCTGGAAACTGGGATTCTTTGGGATCTCCATAGAGCCTGGACACACCATTAAGAAACTGTTTTAATTGATCTGTATTTTGGTTCTTATTCTGAATGAAGGGTTGAATTGTGAGACATTGGGAATGATCCAGGAACACACAGAGCAGCAGGAGGTCCACATCCACATGTCAGGCTGGGATTTGCTCACCTCTCTGCTCACTTTATACAGCAAGCAAATCCGCCTGATGAAGACTCATGTTTGGGGTCGAAACGTTGCAGCATTGAAGCTTGCTTTTTCTTTTAAAACCGGTTTTAATGTATCTTATTTGAAAGCTTGAATAAAAGTACTTTTCTTTTTAGCACAAACAGACTTTGAATCCTTTTAAACAGTCCTTTTTTAGCCCGAGTTTGGCAAACTTTTTTCTTTAAAACCAAGTCTTAAAAGTCATTTTTATTCTTTTAACTTGTTTTATTAATTTTACAAACAATTTGCCGAGGATTTACTCACCTGAACGGAGGAGGCAGGGGGCCGCCCCTGGACGACGGTGCGGTATCGAGGGGGGTGCAGGATCCAGCAGATTGGAGAACCGAGACCTTCTTTCGGTGGAGGAACCCCGTGGACCCAAATGGCGAGGGGTCCTTCATACGCCGAAATCCCGGCGGGCCCCCGCCGCCCTCTTCCTGCCTTCTGGAGCGGAGGAACAGAGTATGGGAGGGGACGGCAGAACTGGAGCACAGGCCGCAATGGTCCGGAACAATTTCGACACTCGGAATATAATAATAATTATAACCGACAAGGGGGGGAAGAACAGAGCAGTTCATCCGGTTATTGAATCTGAGGACCCGAATTATGCCGCCAAGGTAAGGATTACAGACGGGATTATTAGATCAGTTCACCACTGCCAGAACGTTGGCGGATAGGAGGAACCTCCCACGATTAAAAGGATGACAGACAATCTGGCTACCTTCATAAAGCCTGCCGCTCCTAATGAGCAGACCCAGCTGCTCTTGGAGGGCAGCGCGCGTTACTGGGAGATGACCACAATCAAAATATTACAGCAACATTATGAACCACCGGCGCACAGCCGCAACGCAAACGGAGCCGGGTGGAACCGGCACAGAGCCCGGAACCGGCCCCCTGCTGGACTGTGGGGCCCATGGCCCCGGTCTAGACTGCCTCTTCAAAGGTGAAAGACACGCAACTTTTACCTTCTCCGGGCTGGGGGAATCAC